GCAGGAACAGCAAGAAAAGGTCTTGAGGTAGGAGTGTCCCTGGCTTGTTTAAGGAACAGCTGGGCAGCCAGCACACAATTGACTGAGTGAGAAACGTGGTGGGAAGCAAGGTCAGAGAGGCGACTGAGCTGGGAGAGACAAATCTCATCTAGCCTCATAGACTGTTATTAGGACTTGAGCTTTTTCTGAGTGAAAAGGGGCACCGTTACAGGGTTTCAAGCCTAAGAGTGAAATGATTTGACTTATATTTTAAAAGGATCGCTCTATCCATTATAGTATAACTTTACAGAGAGTTGATGATTATTTCTGCAATTTTAGGTATATTACAGCTAATACTGATACCGAAGAACAAAGTTTTCCACTCCCTAAGGCATTTAACACTCATGTAGAGGAATTAAATTTAGATGCCCTTATTCAGATGGCTGACAATTTACGTATGAATGAGTCCAGAAAAATGGAGAGTTTTGAACTACTTTGTGACCACAAAGAAAAGGTAAGAAATATGTGATAATAACATGCTTGTATAGTTTTAATTTTTTATTTAATCTACTGTCCCATTCATGTTATGACCATAACAATTGTGTCACAGTTTACACAAGCTAAATGATTGATGTAAATTTTTTTATAATATCACTACAATTTTTTAATAGTATATATAAGAGTTTATTAGGCTCTAAGGTCATAAAAATGAAAACCAGAGATATGATTATACAGGCTGACATTGATTTTATCAGTCTGATATATTTCGTAAATATTTTGTAACAGATAAAGAATAAGATATACTGCTTCTCTGGAGGGAGGAAAAGCTACATTTTAAGCTCGCTATCTTACAGTTACTAATATAACAGCCATTAGTATTTCACTGTGTCCTACCAGTAATCGTTTTCCAGTGTTTAATGCTGGGCTGAATTGGGAAAGCTCATCCTTCCCACCACCACCAAAGGAAAAAAAAACGGTGGGTTTTGCAATATCACAAAGATCAATAAATCTTTTTCTTTCCCATGAGAGATTTAAGTCTAACCTTCGAGGATTTAGCAACTCTAAATGCATTACCTAAAAGTTTTTAAATCTCCAGGAGTGTATTTAGGTAATTTAGGTAAAAAACGTGACTCCTCTTTTGGATGTATGTAATCTCTAATAACTTACAGATATTATCTGAAATGCCCATTGAAGCATCATATTAATAATAGATAACTTAGAAAGGAAAACAAGGAGAGGATACTACAACCCAGAGAGAATTTATAAATTCTGACACCTATCAAGTTTCTCGTCTTTGTAGGTGTGGAGCTGGTGTCTGCATAATATTCATTGGTTTTAAGATCCAAATGTAACACTACATTACATCACATTTTGTAGCCATGAATATTTGAACTTAAAGTGTGATATGCCCATGAATAGATACAGTCATTTCTAAGTACCAGTTTACCTAGTTTTTTAAAAGTTGCAGTGGAAAACACAGTCTGGTCATGTTTCTGAGTTTATCTAATGTGCAGTTCTGTCTATACAGTTTAGAGATGAAATAGAGTTTATTTGGCGGTTTGCTCGTGCTTATGGAGACATGTATGAGCTATCTACAAATGCACAAGAAAAGAAGCATTATGCTAATATTGGTAAGTATTTTGTAAATATTAATTATCCTCAAGTAGTAATCATTATCTATAGTAAACCACTAATGAATTTTAATTAAAGCTAAATTATCTTAGCTAAAACAAGTATGTTTAATCTATTTCAACATATCCTAGTACTTATATAGTCTAAGGACAGAAAGGTTTGGGTTTTGTTTTTTTTTTTTTTGCGGTACGCGTACCTCTCACTGTTGTGGCCTCTCTCGTTGCGGAGCACAGGCTCCGGACGCGCAGGCTCAGCAGCCATGGCTCATGGGCCTGGCCGCTCCGCGGCATGTGGGATCTTCCCACACCGGGGCACGAACCCGTGTCGCCTGCATAGGCAGGCGGACTCTCGACCAGTGCACCACCAGGGAAGGCCCCAGAAAGGTTTTTTTAGAATAAAAGTACATGTTCTTAAAAAATATTTGAGCATACTAGAACAGGCAACTGAAAAACTCAAATTCCAGCTTTTAAAGTTTATAAAATCACAGAAAGATGAGACATTAAGTGGTAATAATATGAGAAGCGATAATAGCAGTAGTCTTTCACCACAATTAAAATAACCCTCCTTACTCCCTGTAACGTAGAACTCCAGGTACCACAAAGAAATAACTACTCATACTTTAATGTTTTTTTCAAAATTTATCTTGATAAAACAAGATTAGCCTTATTTTAAGGCTAATCTTGTTTAAGCCTTGTTTTAGCTAATTGTTTAAGCTGAGCAATGAGTCCATAGTTGTTCATTACACTGTCCTCTATTTTCCAAAGTAACAACAACAAAAGAAAAACAGCTAGAATGTGAAATTTGATATATATGTAAACCGTGGCTCTCACTGAGTATCAAACTCTTTTTTGCAAAAAGCCCCCTAAGTTTCAGGATAGTAATTTGACATCAAAACTTCTTTAGTTTTTCTTTCTTTTTTTTTTTTTTTTATTCCAAAGTCTTCTCTTTTCCAAGCTTTCCTTCTCTGAGATAGCATGAGGAAGAAACAGCAAGAAGATAATGATACTGCCAATCTCCTTCCACTCTAGTTCCCTGTCATTTTTATTTCTAAGAAGGAAATATTTCCAAGTTCCTTGAAATTACATTTCTTCTGCTTGTAGGTTTCTTTGCCAAGTGGCCTCTGTAATTTAATTCTTAGTGGGAGGAGGATGGAAGGAATTCCCCTTCTTGTTCTTTATATATTCATCATCAGCTTTGTGGGGCAGTTTTTCTGTAGCAATCCTTCTTGCAGACCATAAACAAAATGGAATTCTAGGGAAGAGGTTTATTAACTTGAAGGTAAATAAAAATTTAGCCAAAGAGAACAAACTGACTTATTTTTATATCTACTGAGAAAGTCAGAGTGTATCTATGTAAACTGTTCCAACATCCGTCATATTAAATATATATTAAATAATTTAAAAATATATATTAAATGTATTTTTTTTCTTGAGCACCTCCCTGCCCTGGGCATTAAGGCTCCTCCTATGTTAGAAGGTAGAAGTATGATAGCAAAATAGACATGTTCTCAGACTGCAAGGAGCTTATGGCTTTGTGGGGAAGATAGTATTACTAAAATAATCCTACATATAAAGAAACACACTGAAGTAAGTTGTTAGTAAAGAAGAATGTGGCATATTAAGAGAGGGTATAACAGAAAGGAGGATATGATGGCGGAGGTGAACGTTGATGCAGGGAACTCTTTCTTCTGGAAGTAAGTCTCACATAGTAAAATTACTTGGGATCTGTATTTTTAAATGGAGTGAGAGTTTAACTGAGTTGATGTATGAGATGGTGAAAATGGAGAAAGAAGTAGGCTGGAGGAAATCCAAATTCTCGCACCCAAGTACAAGAAAGGAGCATGGACTGAGACAGGATATATTCAAAAAAGAGAAAAGTTTATAGTGTCAAAGAAAAAACAGTGACCCCCCAGTTGTGTTCATGCAGTTATAGAAATAAATTTAACAGAATTCCTATTGTTTTATCCAAGAAATATTTATGAGAATTTTTTATTTATTTATTCAAAATATTTATTCGAAATCACCGTGTCTAGGAACAAAGTTAAAATGAGGGGTGAGGGAAGGAGACAAGGAGGGACATGAATATGATCAAGACAGTGTTACACTAAGGAACTTACTGACAAGATCAATATGGAGACAGGCAATTGTAATTCAATGCACAGGTAGTAAGTGCCTGGCAAAGGTGATGGCAAAGAACCCTGGAGCTGAGACATTGGAGACTGGAGTTGACGGGCATCAGCACCCAGTACAAGGGAGGAAGAGTGCTGTTATTGCTCATAACAGTATATTTGAACTCGTGTGCCGAGGGAAGACTGGATCACTGAAGAGTACAGAATTCTTTCCTAAACCTCCAACTGGGGTATACAATTATGCAGTACATCTGTGCACGTACTATGATTGATCATACTTGTCTTCCAAATAAAATATGAATCTTATATCTAAAAGAACATTATTGTAATTTTCAGAATTAAATGACTGATACAAATGCCACAAATAGATCACAAAATACAATTTTGTAAGGGAAGTAGCTTTCCTTTCAGGCTGAAGCTGCATAAATGAGGCTGCAAAACCAATCTGTGTAGTACCCAGCTCCATTTTATATTCTTAGAGCGATGGAATCACCTCTATTTTAAGCTTGTGGCAGTGCCCTAAAAGCTATTTTTGTTCATTTGGCAATGTAGGG